ATGTGAAAGAAATGGAGGATGTTAAGGGAAAAATATCATCAAACTTAAAAATAATAATTGTGACCACAATAATATATATACTCCGTATCTGGGAAAAAGTAGATGAATATGTCACATTGCAGTACACCATGCATATGTGAAATCCGTAGCTACTATCAAGGGTCTCTCAGGTGTTCAATGTGGCATTTCTGCTAGCTCCTTCAATGAGTTCACATTCTCGAAAATTCCATACTTTGGTATCTACAGATACGCACATGTATTCCCAGTCGCACGTCATTATTATTGGAAGAATACTAATGGTGATAGGAATGCACCTAACATGACACAATTTGAATGTTTTGCTATAAAGAGCTCATTGTTACTCACTGTTTGAGATAATCGATAATTTCCATATTCTCGAGGATCATGAACTATAATGAGATCTTCATTCCCCTTCCAAGAAGATGTCAAACAGTCTGCAAAAATCATAATGGTTCTACTAAATAACAGAGCATGAAGTCGAATTGGCTCAAAAAGAAATCATAAACATCAGTTTTCTGTTGTACTCCATTCACCTGGACAAATACAAAAGAAAGGCAGATAAATTAGTGACTACACTAAGCAAAGAAATCTACAAGTGTGTGAGAACGGGTGTGATTAAAATTACAAATTATAAATCGGACAATACAGCAGGCTACAAGAGAACTATCATTTCCAAAATATTAATTTTCTTGATCCCAATACAGCATGAAACTACACTTATTTAGGGAAAAGATAACTCATGTCATTATCGACAAGTGTTCTAACTTGGACCAAAGAATTGCAATAAGCAAACCTTTTAATAAGAAAACACTTCCATTATAGTGGCTATCTAGGAACAAGGGTCTTTAGAAGTCTTTTGCTGCACTTTGACTTTGCTCTTCAATGTTGCAGTTTTGTGACTTTTGTCTTTGTTTATAGCATCCTTTGTTTTTAATTTATGCACACAACAATATCTTGTGCTGCACTTTGACTTTGCACTTCAAAACTTTCATCTCCTACCCACCCTACAGTCAATATCTACATGTGTGTTGTACATTCTTACAATTTATATGCCCCTTCAAGGTCATTTAGATCTTAATCTTAACTACAATGTGTTTATGAATCAACTATGGAAAAGACTCTGGCCAAATGTATTTCATTTTGAATTGTAAAATCTTGTTGTCTAGATTTTGAGAATTTTGAGTTCGCAAAGCACAACCATGAAAGTTAGATGCTAGTAAACCACAATAACTCAAAAGAATATGTAAATTTAAGCAAATACACAAATAGAGATTAAAAACAAGCATAGCACGCACCTCAAAGTATGATCCAAACGGGATTCCATGGACCTGTTGTACAGCTTCGAACATCTGGAATAGGGAAATACTGAAATAAGTGAAAAACAAAATAAGTGCAGAATTGTATTATCGGAAACACGCAACATTATTGAGTGTTCATGAAAAGATTATGATAAGAGAAACTACCAGGGTTTTTTAATGTCATGAGAGAACATGTTAAGTGTCTGTTGAAAAACCTGTTCATAACCTTCATATTCAGAATTCAATTTGACTTTTTTTATTCAAATTGAAAAGGAAAAATGGGGATCACATGATTTCCTCAAAAGGGTAGGATACGCCCAAACCCATGGTTACATTTGGGTCCCTCTCGCTCTGTAATATATACCTTGTACGTGCGCGCAGAGTATATACACAAGTAAAGCAAAACCTAGTTCATCACTCGAACTATGGCCGCAATAATGTTTGGACAAATTAAATCAAAACAATGCTAACACTTAACTCTAAAATAACTGTTGATATTCTTAAAGAGGTTGTTGTTTTTGTTGTTGTTATTATTATTATTTATTATCAAATATTATTTACATCTTAGCTTTCTTCTAGCACATATTATGTTTAGACCGACCATGGTGTCCATAACCATTTAATGCCTCATGTGATCATACTCCTTTCTCTTTAAGCATCAAACTTTTCATCATCGAGAATTCTCACTTCTTCTCACCAGGTGGTCCACAAACTTTTTTATTACAACAGTCATAGCCAATGTAGGAATTTGGTTCATCATCAAGAATTCTCATATCTACTGTAACCCAAACTCCTTTGCCCTAAATTTGGAGTGTGAACTTTAAAACTTAATCCACACGAGAAAATATAATACATATCTAATTTCAGTCATTCGATGCTCAACCATGGTGCATACCTGGGTATTCACTTGGCAAACCTCAGAAAGTTTTAACTTTGGGCAATGCAATTAGAGCATCTTTATATGCCTTCAGGCCAATGAACCTCTTGAAAAGGTCTATGCTGTCATCTCGCCTATTAAAGAGTCATTATAAGTATTACATTCAAATGAATGTGATATCTACTATTTATTCATAACATAAGAGTATGTTCATACCATTTCTTAAGGGATTCAAATGTTGTATGAGCAGGGTGCACTTCAAACATTGCATCAAATCGAGAAGACAGAGAAACACCTGTTAGAAATCCACATCAACTTATTGTCAGTTAATTCAATAATTCTATTTCTATGTATAAAAACTTTGCTAAATAATATATTACCATTAAAGGCAGTAAAATTAACCCTTTTTACAATAATTATTTGGAAATGCCTAGTTTCTAAAAGGAACGTGATTTCCTTCCCTTGGTTCGTTGCAAACTCTTCCCACATTGTAAGCAGCATAAGCTTCATTCTATTCAACCAATCATTCAAAATGTTATTTCTTTGTATCTTTAAATATTTTTTCATGCGGATCACTTACTCCTCATTAAAAATGATGAAATCGTGTGCTATTTTTTCTTGTGAATCCAACTTAGATGTACTCTCTCGGTATTTTTCTATGACAACGGCCATGAAATTTGTATACAAAAGTACAGATCTGATGCAAAGTGGTAGTAAACAACTGTATATCTATATGAGGAAAAATAAATTAAATGACTTACTTATGGGGGTTTTACTTGCACTAATTCCGTAAAACTCATTAAATGGTGTCAGCATCTCTTTTACCTCATCTGGTATTTTAATCTGTTCAAAATCTGGAATTGGGTCAATATATGTCTGTCTACTAATCATCCAGATGTATTTATAGTGGGGAGATGGTGATGGGACATTGCATTTAGTCGGCATCATAGCAGCATTTGTTATTTTATATATTTTATGGATATCCAATACTCAATTAACTTGATCAATGCCTCCACTATTCACCATAGTGAGAACCTTCGTGCCCTATTATTTTAAAATAAATACATCAAATTAACATAATCAAAAGCCTGGTTTTGTAATATTCTATGTTTAGTTCATTCATGATATAAAAACACTTACTTCATGATCTTGCAATACATAAGGTCTATACTTATTTGGACTCGACCTCGAGTCTCTAATGTTCCGCTTCTCAACAACTCTACTTTGCATGTCCATTCACCTTTGTTATCTTTAATATGGCTAATCATTTGCACTGTTGTCATCCCTGTAATTTTATTTTAAAATAAACGGTATATTAACACAAAAAGACATTGTTTGATAAAATTCATTTATTCAAATTCAGTAAAACAAATCCCCCATTTGTAGTCATCACCACATGGGACCGAACTGCTTTGGATTGGAACCATATTATTTTAAAAAAGTGTATTAAACACCTCATTTTTAGTAAAAAAACACTCTTGGTCAAGTCAGACCGTGATGAGAGTCATGCTTTATTCACTAAAAAAACAGAGTGCGAAGTCCGATCTCGCTCACTTAACTTTGTATTTGAATTTAATTAATATAATTTTAATGAATAAACATTTATAAATTTGTCTGATCCCTACAAGATACATTTCTACTTACTTTTCATAATGAGGGTGATGAAAACCCCTCACAAATAGAACAAAACAAATTTTCAAAGCAATAAATATTTAGAACTGGATCAGGTCTATGCAAAAAGCATGTAAAATAGAAGTTCAAGGTATTGTATGCTCTATATCTTCACACCTAAAAATGAGTTACACAATTGCCTATGGTAATTGTTATCTGAGACTGTAGGAATATACATAAACAATTCTATAATATGCAGTTTGCTACTCTAATTCACTCTGACAAAATTTGATCGCCCTATTCTTGTGGATTTCATACATATGGATAATTATTGGAATTATAAATTCATATAATTTTAAAAATTATACTAATATTGACTTCCATGACATAATAAAATACTTTTAAACACAATCAATTTTTTTTAAAATTTAATTTAAAGAAAAGTTGCCTACTAAAGAACATGATTGTTAAGCCCTAATGGCATGATAAAGCTTATTTAAATTCAGGAAAAACAAAAAAATGGTATTCAAACATTTCACATACCTCGAAGGAGATGTGCTAAGTTAGTGCGTCAACCCAATGTGTATGAAAGTTATTTGCTTCCCTTATGAAAACCATAATAAAAAGCACATTTGAAAAATAAAAGATGAATAAAACCTATGCACAATAGTCAATACTTCCTCGTATGACACTACATTTGTTAACCTTTCATGGAATGAATTTTATGGGTATCTCACCGCTGTAGTTCACGGATTCAGGGGCTGTTTGTTTCAGCCTCTTAATGGTTCAGATGTCTGAATGGTTCAGCACTAAATGGTTCAGACTGTTTGTTTCAGCCTCTTAATGGTTCAGATGTCTGAATGGTTCAGACATTTGCCTTTGAATGGTTAAGTATAATACAGAGTCTGAATGGTTAAGACCTCTGATCTGAATTGATCAGACATTTGCCTCTGAATAGTTAAGCAATATACTAGCTTTTAATGGTTCAGACCTCTTACTGGTTCAGCACTTAATGGTTCAGACCTTTTAGTGGTTCAGCACTTACCTATCAGAAGTTGCCAAACAGCCCCTCAGTTTTATTAATCTATCTAAAAACCATTTTAAACTGCCTCCATAATGTGAAAAATCAAAGGGGTGGGAATGAATGTGGTTCGTTCTACAAGGCGAGGGGGCTGGTGTTTGATTTGGGCAGCCAAATGCCACCCAACCTCCTCCTCCTCTTCCTCCAAGACACAATAAGAGCCACAGAAAAACAATGTTGAGATTAAGGTGGTGATGGAAATATTAAATCACACTCTCTAACCCCCTAACTTGGTTGGTTCCCTTGACATTGGGAATCAATGTCATGGGATGACCCGAAGGCGTTCGGGTTCCCCGCTCATAAAATTGACGGTTCCTACCCCCCTAACCCCCCGATAAACCCTCTCACTCGCCCCGACCCGAACACACACCACCCACCCCCTTCAATTGCACCCCCCAATTTAATTTTGACTTTGAAGGGGATGGGGTTTACCAGGGGGTTAGGGGGGTAGGAACCATCAATTTTATGAACGGGACACTAGAGCACCTCTGGGTCATCCCATGACATTGATTCCCAATGTCCTGGGAACCGGCCCCTTATATGTAATCTAATAACTTAGGTGATAGAGATTGAGCCTAGAGCTCCTAAGCCCGCCACAGAAATACTCCTATAGATATAAAATGCTGGGTTATTTTCCTTCCAGTCTTTTTAAACCATAAATAAATACTTTTCATTAAGTGATAAGAAAATAGGTTAAGGTGCTGACCACATGAAGCTTGGTAAAAATTTTTATTCAATAAATAAGTTATTACTTCAAAGTTGGGAGCTTAAAATTTTGAGAAATGGTTGAATAATCCAAGTATAAATTCCTCTAATTTTTAAACTTATACTCATACTGAATACCAGAATAAAATAATCTTTAACACAATATCTTAAAAATCAATTTAAAGGAAAAATGACTACTGGAGAACACAGCAGCATGATTGCTAAACCCTAATAATATGTGAGTATGCTGGATTTACAGCATGGAAAAGCTTAATGAAATTCAGGAAAATGCCAGAAAAATGATATTCAAACATTTCACAAACACCTGCAAGCAGATGTGCTAATTTAGTGCACCAACCCACTGTGTACATGGCCTATAAATAGGTGGCGTGGCTAAATATTAGAATTGAGGAAGGGAAA